TCAAAGGCATCCCACCAAGAGGTCTCTTCTTGGTCGTATTTTTTCTTCCTCTCCAGTTGGCTCCCAAGTCGTTCGAGTTCCATCTGCTCTTCTTCTTCCTGGAGTTCCATTTGTTCTTTCAGGTCGACTTCCATTTGTTCTTTCAGGTCGACTTCCATTTGCGCTGCCTGTTGCTGCAATTGTTGTTCCTTCTCCTGCTTTCTCTGTTCTACTTCTTCCTTTGTTTCTTCTGGTACTCCTATAAAGGTGCCCAAGACTCCTTCGAGGGGATTCCACCAAGAGGATTTGGTTTGAGATGATTGCCGCAGCCTTCCTCTGTGATCCCGAATTTCGTCATTTTTCACATCGTCGTCGTCGTCGTCGTCGCCGTGTTGTTGTTGTTGGGATGGTCTCGTATTTATTTGCGGTATCATCACAGAGGGTGTGCAAGTTAAGCTGCTGCCGGGTATGCATTGCTCACTCATTATTATTCTGTTACAGCAGTGTTGATGATGTTGAATGATTGATTGCCAATGGAAGGGAGTTTAGGCATTTACCTTAAATTCTTACTCCGTCCAAAATTTCATCGGCTTCCAGGAGACTACCGGTACGTGTACGTGTACCGGTATGTGCGGCACACGTACCAGTTACGGTTCATAAAAATCTTGGTATATCGCCTGCACGACATTTCCCTCCTTTTTTGCATGTGTAAACCAAGCACAGAAATAGTCCCAATAAAACTGCCGACAACATGACGATATTTTAAAATGTCTATAATTGCGTGTTCCTTTCAAGAATCGTAACATTGCACGTATTATAATGACAACGACGACGACTCTGCAAGCGCATCAGTTAATTTGGAGTGCGGCTGCCATGGTTGTAGCAACGAGCTGCACCTACTTTCTTGTTTGCTCCAAGAAAGAAGAAACAACAATAATGAGTGGGAAACGAACAACATTACTATTACACTCTGGCAATAATAATAACGAAACCAAAGTAGTTCGAGTTGGCGTTGGAGTTTTGGTCAAGGATGCTCGAGCTCCTGATCGAGTGTATTGTGGTATTCGAAAAGGCTCTCATGGAGCTGGATCATTGGTACGTTCTTTCGAGTGATATGATAATGTCAAATGTGTGTCCAAAGGATGATATCAACATAATTTTGTTGCGGTCCGTCGATCTCTCGGTGGAAGCGCAGGCATTACCGGGAGGTCATTTGGAAATGTTTGAATCCTGGGAAGAGTGCGCCATTCGAGAAGTGAAAGAAGAAACCAATTTAGATTTGGGAGAAGTTTCTTTTGGTCACGTCACAAATGATGCAATGGAAAGGGAAAACAAACATTACGTTACTATCTTCATGCTCGCGAAATGCAAGGCGCCTGATCAACGGCCGAAAACGATGGAACCGAACAAATGTGAAGGATGGAACTCTTATTCTTGGAGTGAATTGGAAAAGGAGCATTTGGAAGGAAATTTGTTTGGTCCTTTGGGTCGACTAGTCAAGGATCGTCCAAGCAAAGTAATGGAGTTCTTAGGGTTGGATTTGAGTTAAGGGTTAAGGCCTCCTTACGATTGACTGTCGCCATGTACACGTGTACAAGCAAACTTGACGAATACATCATCTTCTTGCTCTCTCCGTGTCTCCGTATAGAGCGTATTTCTCTAAGTCCTGCTATAGTATAGTTTTATTCCATATTCGATACTTTGGAAACCTTCAATTACAACCACAAGCTACTGTACACTCCTGCAATATAATCGGGCTTTTTGTGTGCTATACTACCAAGTTTTTTGTTGTAGTTGTTGTTGTTGGGATTTCTGAGTACGTGCGCTTTTTGCGGCAACGTTTGATGCCTGTAGCGGCAAATAATCCCAGGGCACCGAGCAAGAAAAAAAGAATAACTTCTCCAGCCCACTCTTTTGGTTGCTCCTTTTCCGGAGGAATGAAACTGCTAGTGACATTTTGAATCGAATCATCGTCCAAGAGTGATATGAGTTCTTCGACAGACAATGTCGGCGTTTCGGTCGGCTGCTCGTCGAGTGCTGTGCCGGTCGTTTCATCGGATGTCGATATAGCGACAGATGTTGCATTAGTGCTATTGCTGGTACCCTTAGTGGTGTTGGCAGTTGTCGTGCTATTCGATGTACCGGTAGTCGTCGTGTTGGTTGTCATCGTGGCGATACTTATTATTATTGGCTTTGTTATTGGCTTTACTCGAGAAATAAATGTCGTCATCGTTCGAGAGTTATTATATAAACCGCGGTATATGCCGGTACGATACGCAATAATCCCCCTGACGCATTTCGTTATTTCGCAAGGCATCAATCGGAATGCAGAACAGAGTTACGACGCGTCACAAGCATGTTACGCAAACTTTGAAACTTCAACCTGCCCGCAACGGTTCATCATCTTGGGTTCATCGCCGCCTGCACCACATTCAACATTTCCCCCTCCCTTTTTGCATGTGTTTCAAAAAGCACAGAAATAGTCCCGTAAACACACTTCACTCTTGCAGTCATCGCGGTGATCTACCCAGTATTATTGTTGCCGATAATGCTTGTTGGGACGATGTAACAGGTTCAGACTGCTCCATCGTCATTCATTGACGCTGTCAAATACGCAACCAGAAAGTCGCCACTGGTCTGCTCTGTTGCCGTCCTAAAGTCTGGCCTTTCCCGCACAAGAACACACAGTCTGTTGTCGACACTGCTTTTATCAAGAGGACAGACGCTTTCGTTGCCACTACTGAATGCATTGGCATGAATCGACGCTGCCTAATCCGCTATCAGACTTTTAATGCCTAAGGTCTGTTTTGGTGTGCTCCTTCTGCTGGTCTTTTTTTTTCAGGGAAAAGATGCAACAAACGGCACACGTTCGAGTTTCTTGCCCCCAATAATACTAGGTACTGTTTGTGCTGGCTGTTGGCATAATAATGCTGATTATGTCGTCCAATGTGCAGTGAAAATGGAGATGACTATTGATTCTACAGCTGTTCAAAGGTGCTTCTACTGTATGGATAGGGAGTAATTCAATAACTATTCAAGAAACAACGATGCGATCTTCACGCTCCTGTCTGCAGGGAATTAATCTGAACCAATACCTGGTAATGAAGTTTTGGTTACCCTTTGAAATCATAGGTACTTCTTCATGTGCCGTCAACTCGTTCGTTATGAATGTGGAGGGTTGTGGAGGATAGCACAGTTGAACTTTCTTTGACTCAATCCTCTCTTTCACTAGAATCGTCATCTCCATTTTCACTGAACGAAGAAATCATCATCTGCGTTTTCGCTGGACGAAGAATCCTAAGTACTGTCACTACTGTCATCACCTGGTGAACGCCATCTCGCACGCTTATACAATGGATCATTCGAACCATCAGGGGAGTCGTCAATATAGCCATCGCTTGCAATACTGCAGTCGTCAAAGACATCATCTGTTTCCGGTAGAAAGGATAGGACAATCGGGATGACAAAGGAGGCGCCGTACCGATTCCGACTGCTGTCTCGGTCCAAGAGAATACGTTTGCCGTCTTTTCGACTAGATCGTAAATCCATTTTCCACAACCATAGTTCCAAAAACTGTTCACACAATCCATCCAAGTTTGGATGGGTCCGCTCAGGTTCCATGAACTTGTTCAGTCTGCTTGAAATATTTTCTTTCCATGTTGGCAAGCCCCAAGTCTCCATCGGATCAATCATCCATTTCTGTACAATCATCTTTGCCATTTCCCTGGCGTCTCCATTCCAGTTTCCAGCCAAGAATTCCAAAGGCCGATTACCCCACATGTCTTTCCATTATCCGAGCATGCGTGCAAAGGAAACTTGTCCAACAGTACCTCTAGCAAATCCGTTCTCCGTTTGGCAGCAGAAAGCAGGACATGGAATGGAGTCAAATTAAATGATGCGTCTAATGCGGGGTCTCCAAAAGAGACATCAGAGGCATCAGACCCATCGTCAGGATCGGATCCAAAGGAAGAATATCCAAGGTCAGGTTTCACTGTAGCCTTGCATTCGATCGCAGCCTTCCGGAGTTCAACAACTGTTGTGGTAGATGCATGGTAGCACAACTTGGGCCTGTGAACAGGATACCCGAAGTACCGAGATTCCCAACACTTTAGCTTTAGATACGCTTCTTCCGAATCCCAAGAATACTCGGATGTAGAGCGGAGTGCGTTTTTATTGATCCTTGCACTAGGACTGTTCTGCGACGAAATATTGCAAAGCTGCTTGTTATCACCAAAGGCATGAGCTTCAATCTCTATGTCAGCATCTGGATGCAACTCCACGCTTCTGAGATTGCAATGGGTGAATGCGCCCTTTTGGATTTTCTCGATCGTAGACGGAATGGAAATTGATTCCAACTTACTGCAGTAGCCAAATGCGCCATATGCTAGGCATTTCAATCTTCCAGGTTTCAAAACAACTTCTTCCAAGTGACTGCAACTATTGAAAGCCTCATCTTCAATTGTTTTCGCTGTGGAAGGAATTGCAATTCTCAACAGTGAAAAGCATGTGTAGAACGAGTAGCTCTCAACTATCTTCAATCCTTCGTGTAGCTTCACTTTTTCCAACCTTACGCAATTTTCAAACGCATTGTGTCGGATGATTTTGAGTTGGTGAGAAAGATCGATTGATTTCAAATTTCTGCATTCCTTGAAGGATTCGGTCCCGATTTCTTTGATTGTTTGTGGGAGGTTAATGTCTGATAACCAAGTGCAGCCCGAAAATACCAGCTTATCAATTTGCTTCAGCTTGCTTTCAGCGGCGAAGTTTATTTCCTCCAAGTTGATACAATCGCCAAAAGCGAGTTTACCAATGGTCTCGACGGTTGAAGGAATCCTAATCTTGGGCAAGGACGAGCAAATGCCAAACGCATTCGCTCCAATCACTTTCAAGCCTTCAGAAAGATGTACTTCCTCCAAGCCTCTCCATAGATAAAAGGCATGGTCTCCAATGATTTCTACAGAGGAAGGAATATGCAATTTTTTAAGGGCTCCAAAGCGCCGCCTGACACTGTCTTCAGCCTAACAATCATCAGTATTGTCGACATCAAAATCGTCATCCGTTGCTTGAAACCAGAAACCGTAAATTTGACGAAGATTGCACTTTCCTTCCGACGGAATGATAATCTCTTGCAAGGTATTGGCACAGTCTTTACATATGATCATGGGCAGTACTTGTACGGATGGAGCGATGATCAGCCGCTCTGTACCTTCAGGAACTCTTGTCGCTTCATTCATTCCTCCCTTAAACGTAAAGGATTTCATTGTGAGCTCGGCTATATCGCTTGATCGCTTGATTGGTTGATTGATTCAAAATGGGATATATGTGCGTCAGAGTACGAACGAAGCAAAGAAGCTTTGTTGGTAGAGATGATGCAATAGCAACCAGGCTGCGGTCAAACCGAAGCTTGGCTGAACTTTTGATATCTGGAATTGCTGTTGTGACGGCTACACCGATTGACGGCAACCGACCAGACTTATTGCTACTTTCTGATTGCGGATTGGGCAGCGCCAACCAATAACGAAGCATAGTCTGTCCTACCGGTATTCTAGAATATAAATATCGTCGCAACAAACAGTGTCGACAACAGACCAAAGTCGCAGTATCGACAACAGACTGTGTATGTTTTGTGGGAATTATGACGGCAACAGAGCAGACCAGTGGCGACTTTCTGATTGCGGATCAGGCAGCGTCAACTAATCGCAACGAAACAGCCTGAACCTGTTGTATTGTCGCAATACGCAGTAAGACTATATCGGCAACAGACCGCAGACGTGCTACGAATTGGCATATCGGTTTTACAACACCGGTACGCGAAATATCAGGATTATTTGGAGGAACGGCAGCCGCCTTGGGACTATTTCTGTCGTTTGATAGCCGTCATAAAATATTGTTAGAGACCATGTCGTTTTCAAATGCAAGCGCTGCATTCATGTAAAGGTCAAATAGACTCTATATGCATGATCATATGACTATCGCTATCGTCGCCAGCAGCAGAGGTGTCTGAGCTGGATGGGAAGAACCGAAGACGCTTGTACTTTGCAGAATACAAGGCTTCTTCACTGTCACCACTTGAATCATCAGAATAGTTATCTTGACGTTCATTGCAGTCATCATCATCCCTTTCGCTACTGACACTGTCAGCTATCTCGTCTACTTCCGGTAGAAACGATATAACAATTGGGATGACAAAGGAAGCGCCGCACCAATTCCGACTGCTGCATCGGTCCTCCAAGAGA